TCATTTCATTTGCTTCGTCTTCGGATTTGAGAGCTTCCTGCATAAAGGAGTCCATTTCCTTTTTCATTTTGTTGATGTGTCTATCTTTTGCTACACGATCCTCTGAGAGTTCCTCTATCGTGTTTTCCAAAATACTAATTTCAAGATCACGTTCATTGATGGGATGTTTTTTGTTGTTGTTTTTTTAACGTATCATCACAGCATATAATTTGATGATCCTTCAAGAATTTAAAATTGTTTTTGTTTCTCTGTACACATGCTTTATGAAAAATGTGGAAGCATATCGTACAGATGTAATATGAAGGAACGGGTTTGGTTTTGCAGCATTTGAAGTTGACCATTGTAAGTTATGGTTAATATTTATTCAGGTCAACTTAGTTGATTTTCAGTACGCCACTGGATTAATTCATGTGATAGGAGAGTGTTCTTAGTTATAGTGTTTTTCGTTATTGTTTTTATAACGATTGTCGCTACTTTTTATACGCACATTCCTTTTTTGCTGCTGAGTTGCCTTCCTTGATAGAATTTGGTTGTTTAACTTTTACCACACCTATTATGCACTTTTCACAAAGGATTACCATCAGGAAGTTGATCTCGCTTGTGAGTCTTTATCCGCTGAGTATTTTGGTATACAATTCAACTAATAATTCCTACTGATGCATTAACTACCACGATTATTAAGAGACGTTTGTGATCAAAAAGATCTCTTTCCGCTGTACTGCGGCCTAACGTCAATGTCAACGTCCTCTCAAGTTTTTCTGCATGAGATGGCGGGTCATTATAGAATTTCAGGAGCTTAATGTAAAGTGCATTCACTGTTATGTGAAACAGCTGAAATATTTCAGTACCTATATAGGTATTTTTTGAATGAACCCGTTAATAACCATACACGAGGATTGCAAAAAACAAGTGATTTTCGTCAATTGATATATTTTTTTTTTCAATGCATTTATTTTTATGAGACGATGCATATTTCAAAAATGAATATCTGTTCAAAAGCTGTCGCACCCCTACGAACGACAACCCTCAGAAGTCGAAACATGTGCGAGCTAAGGATTAACGAGGTCTTACCTTTTAACGTGTGATTCCTAACACGGGTTGGACGATAGCAAATGAAGATCGATCGTTCAGACTAGGGCTTGAACCACCGACCAACACGGCAATCAATTCGAGTGAGTGAACAAAGCACCCACGCCGAACCGCTCGGCTACCGACCGACCAAAAATCGACCAATATCGAACCAACATCAAACCAGTATCGAAAAATTAATCTCTCTGAAAGTACCTACAACATAGGTTCTGGCAAATGCCTGCCGGAAAACAAATTACTTCCCTGGCTGATACCACGCTGGACATTGAAATATATCCGACAGAAATTTATGCAAAATACCTCACAGAGGTTAGTCTTGCGGATGTTTTGGGTTCATCAAGCAGCAGGACCATGTTGAAATCTATCGAATAGATCACCTATAGACCGGTTTCAAGGTATTACCTCTCACCAGTGCAGGAAAGATCCAAACCAAACAACAGTGTGTTTGGGACTCGATTAATTTCAACACATATTGGCAGAATGTATGAAACCTTCCTCTAAGTGAAAGATTGTTAACTAGTAACAGCTCTATATCGTGAACAAATTCCCAAGAGGGAAGAAACATCTCATGTATCGACGGAAATTAAAATATGTTTGAAGATACATGCATTATAAAACAATAAATATTTCCAAATAAAATCTGGAAACATTCATCTCAAAGTACCTACAGCGTAGGTTCTGGTAAATGCCTGCCAAAAAACAACTTGGGATTTTGCATAACTGTCTGTTGAATATAATTCAATGTCTAACACGATATTAGCCGGGGAAGTAGTTGGAATTTATCCTAACCTATGTTATAGGTACTTTGGTAGAGATAGGAAATACTTTTATTGGACACAGTATACAATTTTGTTATGAAAGTGTTAATAGGAAATATGTACATATCGTAATAGTAACACATTCATGGAATATTAAAAAAAAAACTAATTTCAAATAAGTGTTTGATGGTTTGCAAATATAATACAGTAGAATCTCACTAATTAAAAACCAGAGAGTGCCGGATGATTGGAATGTTCAAATTACTGGATTATAGAAAAAAAAAACATTATAAATAACATAGTGTCTTGTGTTTCCGTTCACTTGACATTTTTAACTTCAAGTGAAAATGGTGTGAACACAACATTTTAAACAACAGGTACGTGCATGTGATAAGTTTTGAGGTTAGACTGCTAGACGACGACGCGGCGACGGAGCGCATAAGCGAAGAGGGGCGACGGAGACGCAAGCTGAGGGTGCCGGATTATTGGACATATCAGTCTGTTGCCGAGTTAGTGAGATTCTACTGTATACAGTTTTGGGATAAAAGTGTTGAATATAGGAAATATACATATATCACTACAATAATAACTTCATGGAACAAAAGACAAAATTCAAACTAGTATTTGTTACTTTACAACATAATGCCTTATATTACAATTGCATTGAAATATGTATAATATGTTAAATATTTATTTTTTCTAAGTGCCACCAGCTCTAGAAAATTATTTTTTGAAATAAGAATTATCTTGAACAAAAAATAAATTTGAGGAAAACTTCAGAGTGATTTTTCAAAGTTCTGTGGATGCTATTTGTTGAGCATTTTGAATGATGAGACTAGTGAAAGACACATCTCTAATTATAGCTGGTAAGGATATTGAAACATATGAGAAATTGTTTGGCCAAGTAAATTTAGATATAAAATCCTTTGTTTTAGAGCAGCTATATTTTCTAAATTTGTGGAGGATATTAGTTAAAAAAAATTTAAATAGTAGAGTGTATTGTCAATTTTCATTTATTTATTCATCTATGTATACCATGTAATCCCCATGAGGAACAAGATATATACAAATACAGTATTACCTTAATACTAACTTAACCTCAATGTATGAATAAATGTAGACATTTCACTGTAAATATATAAAACTTAAATGATGTAAACCCAAAATTAACATTAACGTCCTAGCTGGTTAAGTATTGAATTCTGTTACTACAGTGTTTTTTAAAAGTATTCAGTGAAATTTCTGTAATGTCCCAATTGAAATGGTTGACTGCTTGCACAAATCTTGACATGGGTGAGAAGTATCCATATTTAGTATGGTGATTAGGGACAGTCAAAAGATTATTGTTCCTAGTTGAATGACGAGGTATACGGAATGAGACTTCATGTAATAGATCATTACAATTAATGTCACTAGATATAATTTCAAATAAGGTAATGATATCGTTATTTGTGCTACAAAAGATTTATAATTTCAAGTATATCCAAATAATCATATTCTCCAACTGTAAGGCCAGATTTTAAGGCAAAAATTCTGGGGAATCTATTTTGCTCTGATTCAACATTATTTATATTTATGAGGAGACCAGACTGGTGATGCATACTCCAAAACATATCTTACAAAGGCTAGATAAACAATTCTGGTGGCATCCACTGTTAAATCCTTATAATTTCGGAAGACAAAACCAAGAAGTTTAAGAGCTTTCTTGATGCTGGTGTTGATGTGGGTGGTGAATGAAAGGTTCACATCAAAAATTATATTAACTTTATCATACTACATTTTTTTAACTAATGAAATTTGAACAAGGATGAATTTTTGAGGTACGAATTTTCAAAGTACTCAAAAATTTTCACTCACATTTCGTAAATGAAACAATGATTTTTTTGTAAAAATTAAATGATTTTTTTTCAGATGACCTAACAATTGACTACCAGTTTACATTTAATTTATCAAAAAAAGAAGATAGACATTACACTCAGATTAACTTCAGGAATTCTCCAATCAAAGCAGATATTGATGCAGACTTTCTGATTACTTGTTCTGTGATGGCTAAAATGAATATAACAGTAAGAACGGAAAATTCTGAAGAAAAGCCCATATATGAGAATTACAACTGCACCACAGTCAGGTCAAAATTTTCAAAGTCTTTATATAAATTTGGAGTGGAAGATAATATCACCCAAACAACTTTTTATGTGTATGTCTATGATTTTCAACCACCTCTGTGGATCCAGATATCATTTAGTCAGTATCCCAAATTGAATTTGCAACAGTTCTTCATCACATTTTCTTCGTAAGTATTTCATGTTAATTTCTGTCTTATTTTTGTGTTTCAGAACAAATGTTGTAGAAATGTTCTACAACAAATGTTGTAGAACAAATGTTCTACAAATTAAAATTGAAACCTCTGACATAGAATGAATACAACATGAACTATTTTTTTATACACTAGTGTTGTAAGATACTTTCCAATATTTGTTTCACCATCCAACTTGGCATTATCAGGATCTGTTCTGTACTGAAATGAAGTAAACAGGGTACAACGCGATGACTGTCGGTAAGCCATATTTTGGGAAATAATAGGTCATATCCTGAAAATTCCAGGGATCAATTAGGTTTACCTATTCACTAGCATGGATAACTGTCGTCTAGCCACTTTCAAATCATCTCATTATAATAAAGAGGTAATTTATCTTATTGAAACCTAATATTATTTAGAAACTCATTCGGGTTTGACAATTTTCTAAACCAAAAGACAGACAAAAGTGATCCTTCAGAAGAGCCTACTAGATCACCAGGCGTGATGCCTGTGGATCTTTTTGAGGGAATATGTGACATCTGAAGTATACAATACACAATCGCAATCCCACAACATTTCATATAGTGTAGGAAAATTATTTTTTAACAGACTTCATCATTGACAGGTAGTGAACAATAAACATTTTGAATACCTATTGGAATGAACTGGAGTGAGTTTTGAATAATTTTTTTAAGAAATTATGATGTTTACAATTTGTTTGCAAATTCTTATAACCAATATAAAAATGCTCATCACTAGAAATTTGCATAAAGAATTGAAATTTCTATCAAACGAGTTATCACAAAACCTCCCTTTCTATTTAGAAAAAAAGTTGATAGTGCCCTTTTGGCAACATACAATTTTTTCTGACCTTGATATCTGGTTCTGTTCAAAAATTAGGAGGAGGGGGGACCATTTTCGTCCGTACTGTGCATAAATAATAAACATAAAAGAAGTAAATATTGAAAATGCAAAAAATTTAAGAAAAAAAAAAAACAAAAAGAATAGAAGAACACAAGACCTTCGATTATTAGTATCCACAATCTTCTTTGGGTGGTAAACTGGGTTTTTAGTATTATTAATTGTCATTCATCATTTTTTTAAATTTTTTTTTTCTCATAGATTTCATATCTGTTGACAATTTGTAGACAAAGTCCGAATCTGTAAAATGAAAAATAGATATCGAAAGTATGACAGAAATAATTGAATTTCCAATAATTCCAAATAATTAGGTTTCTAATTCTTGCTCAATTATTCGGAATCCTTGGAAATTCACAAGCATAAGCATTGCAGATGTAACTTACTAAACGACCAAATTGACTTGCCAGTTTCCTTGCCTGTTTTCAGATTAGCGTACCTAGATTGTCACAGGTAAACAAAATTCAGATACTATATCAGGTAATATTATCATTTGTTTGTATTCGTTTGCAAAATGTTCATATAGGAATAAACTGCAGTAACGTTAGTTACAAATACAAGTGGTATTTGTTTTATTTGTTTCTTTCATAGACTTCAAATCATATTAGACAATGGAAGTCTGAACTAGTAAAATTCACCATGAAACAATGTCAACCATTTTCAAACAAACTCAAGTATACTCTTCCATATTCTCGAGAATAATTTATTGTAACGTATTTTTAATGAAATTCTGAAAGATTTCAAAATATCAGTGTTCCATGTAAGTGAAATTTTATGTTTTTCATTGACTATATTTTGAATAATTTATTAAAAAATATTGAGTTGTACCTTGGAATAAATAAACTGAAACTTAATATTACTAAAACTAAGGCGATGATCATTACAACAAAGTATAAACAAAATAAAATTGGGAGAAACACAGTCAAAATTAAAATTAACGAAACTGATGTAGAAATAGTGAGTAAAATCAAGTATCTAGGGTTCATTGTAGATAATACAATTTCATTGAATGATCATAGTGACTATGTAATAAGCAAAATATCAAAGAAACTGTTTTTTTTTAGAGTGGCGTCTGTATTATCAATGTATGCCAAAATAACGTACTATAATTCCATAATAAAACCTCATTACGATTTTTGCCGGACTCTCTTATATCTCTTGAATCAGAACAAATTAAATGAATTATAAATCGTGAAATGTGAATAATATTACTCTGCAATAGAATGACACCTATACTTAATATGCTCTGTAGTTTAAGATGGCTTTAATGTCTCTCAACAATTCTATCATCAAACTATGATATTTATATTTAAAATAATAAATGAATTGCAACCAGCATACTTAGTAAACTTTTTAATCACAAATAGTGAAGTACATCATCATGATACTAGATCGAACACCAATTTTCACATCCCAAGGACAAATTCACATAGCAGTATGAACTCGTTATTTTTCAAAGGTCTGGACAGTTTCACTAAACTACCAAATAATATAAAAAAACTCTTCTTCTCTCCATCTATTCAAGAGGGACTTGGTAACATTCATAACGAAAATTTATTATTATTTTTTTGTTTGATTTTTATGTATTATATTTTGATAAAGTACATTAATTATGTTTATATTAGGCTTGCATATCTGGAAATAAAGTTCTTCTTCTAATCCTGTGAATGATATATAATTCCATTCCATATTGAATGTTTGGAATACAAACTGAATAGAGAAAATAGTTTTTGTGTGATTCAGTGTTAATAAACCTAAAAGTATTTGTTTCAAAAGTATTTTTCTTTTGTGTAATTCAATGTTTATATGAAAGTAGCTGTTTCAAAAGGACTTCTTCCAGTTTGTGTCGGAAAGTTACTTCTTTGCAAGATCTGCGCATCTTTGTATGGAATTAATTTTTTGAAATTGGTTGCTTTCTTCCTTTCTTTGGAAGTTTCCCACATTTTTTTCTATAAAGATGGAGAAGTAGAAAGTGAAAACCTTTCTTTCCCAAAAATTATCCTCTCCAAAAATATATCCCTCTCAATTTAAGCAAGATTCCTTTGGTTGGGATTGAATCAAATAAGCGAATGAATACCATTACTTACTGTCATCGATGACATAAGTAGAGAATTCATTCGTGACATAAAGTAGTAATTTTATGAATGGCAAGTGTCTTACTTCGAAACATCTGGTGTAGTGAGGTTGACAGTGTTCCATGTAAGTGAAATTTTCCCTCTTTTTTACTATATTATGTAGCAATCCTGTAAATGATATCTGGTTCAATTCCATAACGAATGTTTGAAGATGATTGAATTCTATTCATACATTTCAGAATGAGTCCTATTATTTAAAAAAATCACAGTTGTACCCTATATCAAATGTACTTATGTACTTTAACGGTAAGACTCAAACTCTGATTCTTTTATCATGACCATGCCAACTAGGTAGAAGAAACGCGCTTCGAGGGTCACTACTTTTGTTCTGTTGTGGAAAATGTGTTTTCAATAGATTCATTTCATGCCAGGGGTTCCAATTCTAACTATCACGACAATGTATTATTATTTGCAACCATTGTATCCACATTGTACAATTCACTTGAAGATATAACGTTATTATTTTCATAGGTGCTTTTTACTTCTTTTGCTGGTTGCTGCAATACTGTGGAAAATAAAACAGCGTTATGATATGTATCGACGACGTCAGCGTCTCTTTGTTGAGATGGAACAAATGGCTTCACGTCCATTTTCCCAAGTGCTACTAGAATTAGAGAGAAGTATAGATTGTGAGAATAATTCTGAGGTGAAACGTAAAAAGCGTGACGCTCCTAGTCCCATAGCTTTAGAACCATGTAATGGAAGTCGTGCGGCAGTGCTCAGTTTGTTGGTACGTTTGCCAACTGGTGGTGATTCTTATACTCCGAAAGGCCAATCTGCAGGATTGGCTATTGCCAGCGCTCTAGTTACTTTGGGGAATCCCAGAAAAATGAGCTTAGATCAAGTTAAAACTGAATTGAAAGGTGGTAAAATGAGAAAATCACAAAGTCAACATCCGGATAGTTGTCTTTGAATTTTTATTACTATGAAAAAATCATTTAAGATTTGAAATCTCCCAAAATGCACTGTGTTGTTTGAGATTGGTGATATTGTGAAATAATATTTATATAGAGGATGGCAATAACTTTAAAATTATAATTAATAGTTTTACATTCCCGAAATAGGTATTCCTTGATTAATTACCATCCAGTTTCTAATATTTAACTACTTTTATTCACTACTTTTTATCTTTTTGTTCTGGAACAAAGTGAAATCTTACCCATAATGATGAAATTGTGTCGAAAAGATGAGAATATTTGTACACAACTTGAAGTTTGCATACTGAAGAATAATTTCAAATTTTTAGCTCGAAAATAGTTCCTCTATATTAATAAGCTGAGAGGAAATAAAGTGGTCATGCATTGTACTATCATTGCAATTTGTAAAACAATTTTTTAATTTGCTACCCGTGATTACTTATTTGATTTTATTTTTGTCCAGACTTACTTTTATGATCCGATCTCCAAAAAATTTTCAAGTTGAATTAAATCTACTTGAAAGTTTACTATCTCATTATATAGAAAATTTCAACTAATTTTTATGGGACATGTTCTCAAAGCTTACTGCCTTAAGAAATTTTAAAGACGCAATTTCTGTTTTTTGTTCCTTTCAATAATGAAAATTGATATGACATATATAATGTCTGTTATACATCACATGCCTTGAATATTCTTTTTTGGGTAGCAAAACGTAACTTTGAATAATAATAAACGTCTTCATTCATCATATCAATTACACAAAAAACAAACTTCAGAAAATGGAAAAAATGATGAATAGGCGAGGTTAGGCTTGGAAAGTTTATCGAAATAAATTTCTTGAAAACCATACCTGCAAATGGAATTTAGTTTCAGTTTGAAAAGGAAAAGAGCCAATTTTTCATAATTTATGCTAAAAGTTGAGCGATTTGGAAAAATAGAACTACAAAAATAAATTATTTTTCTTCGTCAATGTTTGTTTTCTACTTGAAGACACCTGATATACATGTATTACAATACTATAAACTTTAAATGGAAATGAAAGGCAGAGATGATTATTTTAAAGGTGTTGAAAGAGTCTTTTGACATTCCTGTAGATATGGTTTCTGATGAATTTCTAACCTAATTAGCATACTTCTTCACTTGTCAAGAAAAGGTGAAAAAATATTTTTTCTTCTCAATCATCAATTTTCCAGTCTTAAGTACCAATTTTTTTGAGTGCCAGTTTGCCTTTCTATCTTTATGAGTGCTTTCCATGAATTTTGTCATTTTTCGTTGAATGGGTTGGGTTGAATGGTAACATTTTGGTAACTAAACCACCAATCACTTAGCGATAATTTTGCACCACCAATTTAAAAAATTCTATTGACAGGTTTTACCAAATATTTAAAAAATTATCTACATTTATCTCATTCCATTACAACATGCTTCTTGGTCACTCGAAATTATTACTTCAAATGTTTTTTTAAGAAATATTATGTAGTATTTGAAATCACTTCATTTGATGGTGCATTTGATATATTTTTTTTATTAAAATATTTTGAATTTTTGGATATAATTGAGATTATGTTACCATATTTTCTTTGCTTCATCATGTTATCTCATATGATGTAAATATCTTTATTCATTCGTTAAATAGAAAGGCAGGATTTTATAAATACCTTACTATAAAAAAATTGTCACAAATATGATATTTTTATTTATTTTTGGAATTGTTATCATTAACTCAAGTTCTCAGGAGGTGTGCATACTTGATTCCCTCAACAGTTACATATTAGAGCTATGAATACTATAGCTGCCCATAACACCAAGATTTTTTATGTGGACAGTGGCTTCCTTGTGTGTTGAACTTTCTCTTAAACATGAATCTTCTCTTCTGCAAAGACATCTCGTCTTAAGGATTTTCCTGCAATGTTTGGGCATCTCCATAAGAAAGTTGAAAAACAGCTTCACGATTTCTTTCTAAATCAATAGGTATTTGTGATGTTTGATGGAATTTGAAATGATAAAAACTCCAATTGACATTTATCTTTTGAATGATTAAATTCCACACGATATAAAAAAAACTGAGAGGTTCATCATGGCCTACCAGGTTGGTGTCTTGCACACTTTAGTTTATCGTAATCACGTGATGTGCGTAGAGGTTCCTGGCACAAAGTGCAGGGCTTGCGACGAGATGCTGAAGTCCCTAATGTACCTGCTGTCAGCATGCCCAGCATTTGTGATCTCAGCCTATGTTTATCGAAATAACGTGGGCGCTTTATTACCACCTAAGTCACTTTCATGGTATTGATGGAATATATTGATATTTGTCCTAGAGATTTGAGCTCCTCCTGAGACAAATATTGTCGTCCGAAAAAGGGAGGAAAAACTGATTAAATATTGAGATTTTCTCTTCGAATTCTGCAGACTCTATTCAGACCATTTTGTCAAGACGGTTGTTTTGATTATTGCAGTCATCTCTACTCTCGAATTTCAAGATAATGCCGCTTGAGGTACTAAAGATATCTTTGCCAGACAAAGCAAAAGGCTGTCATTCTTGGCTAATTAGAAAACTTGCTTAGCTCGATTATATTCCAGCACTACAAATTATTTCATTCATCTATAGTGTTTGGGTTAAGGTTTGGATGTGTCTATAAAATGTAAATTTTCTTGTTGACACATAAAAATGAAATGAAATGAAACATTATTCTCGGACCCAATGATCACTTAGCCCACGGTGTGGGGAGTGGTCGTTAGTTGATAATGCTGGCGCGCCCCCTCTAATATATCGGGGCTTCGGAGATATTGTCCTACCAGGTCAACCTCAGAAAAAAAATAATAGTAATAATAGTAACGCGACATAACGCGGCTCTGAGAGTGCTATATTACCATCTACGGAACTCTTACGGTATTGACGAGACACCGGTGTTGCCCTACGCTCCGGGGGGGATATTGAATCCGTTGTGGAGAACGAAAAGTGCCGAATTTGTTGAAACTATTCGTTCCCCACCCTCAGGCTCATTCAACATAATAAGCCTGATGTAGTCCTCGACCACCAGAGCAAAACGATATTTGTCGTGGAGTTTTCAGCTCCTGGCGAGACGAATATCGTCCGAAAAGAGGAGGAAAAACGGATAAAATATCGAGATTATTTTTTCGAACTCCGCAGACTCTATCCAGACCACTCTGTCAAGATGGTTGTTCTGATTATTGGAATCCTTGATGGAATGATGCCCTCTCTACTCTCAAATCTTAAAATCATACCGGCTTGCCGCAGTAAGGCAGAAATCTTAGCCGGACAGATGCAGAAGGCTGTCATTCTTGGCTAACTGCGCTTGCTCAGGGCACATGATTATCGGACCCAATGATCACTTACCCCACAGTGTGGGGAGTGGAAGTTGGTTGATAATGCTGATGCGCCCTCCCGAATGTATCGGGGCTTCGGGTGATAGGGCTTGACCAGCGCACACTACGGTGAAAAAAAAAATGATAATAATAATGGTAACTTATTGACTGTGGTACAATATGTACACATATGGTATGCCAATCAATTGTAAACTACAGCCCAAACACAACTTGACAACTCAATCCTCGAGCCTCGTTTTTTTTTTATATTCGAGGATTGAGTTCACTGTCGATCCATTACATAGATGGCGTCTTCGTAAGGAGAGATGTCGACCTTACTTATGTCAACTAAGTCATAGGAACTCCTCATACTGAGTATGTATTCTGAATATAGTCATTAAATTGAAAAAACAACAGTAAGAAAATGTGAAACTATTAAATAATATGAAAGAACATATAATTGAGAAATCTTAACGAAAGTTTGATAATCTATAAAAACAATATTTAAAACTCGTTAGAAGGAGCTATCTAGATTTTCTTGGACAGTATAAAAACATTTTTCAATGAAGAATCTAAAATTATGAAAATTGTCAAATTTGGAGTTTTGTAAGAAATTAGGCAATTTATTACAAAACGTATTAACACTATACTGGGGAGAGCTTTCAACTTTAGGGGCTGGTATTATCATATATTGGTTGCAAAAATGGACAGATTTTTTCTTGTAAAATTGACACCTGGAACCGATAATAGTTTCATTCTTATAAATACCAGTTTACAGATATCTCTATATTAAATATTAGAAAATTAATGTGCGATATAAATGTCCCATTGAAATCTTTGCCACAACCTTAAGACATGTAAAGCGGAATAAGCCATAACATAATATAATGCCGATAGGCCTTATTGGACAAAACAGTCTTGCATTTGCCTCATCGCAAAAAATGCTTCATTCAGTTTATACTATATATACTATCGACGTGCAAATTGCTGCTTAGTGATTCATCCAAAATTGTTCCCAAAACTGTAACTTCATGTGAAATTGATATCGTAATGACCATTTCATTAAAGGTACTTTTACATCTTCTGTAAAATTTCACCAATACCGACTTTGAGGTATTCAAAATCTAACGGTTATTTTCACACCAACTTGTGGACTCTAATCAGTCTAACCCTCGTTATTAGCACTTAGCACTTTTAGTTTGGTGCAAAAAAAATCATATGATATGATGTCAAATGCTTGTGATTACATATATTATTTGAGAACATTTTCTTCTTACTATCGTGTGGATGAAATTATTTTCCAGCAACTTGACTTCATAAACCTTTCTTGATTTTATATCATTTCCTGATACATATTGATTCGTTTTCTGATGGTATTCCAGGAGAGTTTCCCAAATTTTTGCTAAAGCATGTTGTTGGGTTGAAAGATTGATTAAACCATCAGCGCCAACTAAAAAACTTGGCAAGTTAACTTGGGTGTCACACCAATAGTTGGTTCCACTTATGTCTCGCTCACATTTACGCAATTATTTTTATTAGACAGATATACTTGTGTATATCAGACTCACTGAAAGCCACAATAGATTAGAGGAACTAAACGAACTCAAATTCGCCCTTAACCAAAATGACTATCCCGAATCCCAAATCCAAATATCTATCCAAATTCAGCAAACCCGTACCCCACAACCAAAACAGACGGATTAACAGATGGACCACCGAGAAGCTTTTCTTCCTTATATTCATCATTGTTTCCACTACCGGTCCTTCCCTCCATTCATCCAGGGACATAAATAAAGATAGATAATTGATATACCTATCAAACGAGATATCATAAGACCCAACGAGATGACGCGACGATATTCGCACAAGCATTGCAAGGAAGATCATGGAAAACAAATACTGTGTCTGCGCAAATTACAATGGTTTTTAAGTAATTTAATTTATATTCATTTCGTGAAACGGTATTTTTAGTTTATTTCACAAGGACGCCAAATAAATTCTTTAAAAAGTATAGTTCGAGGTGTGCCGAGATGAACATCGAATCAATGGATAACTCTAGTAGTTTCGCATGCACACCATATTTGGGGGAATCAAGCAAGAAAGTCAGTCGAACTATGAGACAGAATGTTCTGTTTTGAATGAAATGAAAAAAGGTCTAATTTGAACTAATTAAATCAATGACAAAATGGTTAAGGCTTTCGCGGCCGAGGTTTTCAGTATTACTTTTTTTCGAGTTAGCCCCCAATCAGGGATACCATAGCCTTTTCGTACGGGAGGCAATAGAGATCCACAAACACGCGAATAATTTCAACAGAAAAGAAGAAGCTGTGAACCTCAACCGAATATAGAATCCCATTCTAAGAAATTCTAGAACAGCAAACATGACGGCAGGTAGAAAAAGGTTGACGAACGTTATTGATAATTTACTTGTACATGTATTAGCTAACCAAACTACCTGAGTCAACATGATGTACAAATCTCTGAAGAAGCTAGCCATTCGCACCAGCGAAACGTCAGTAAAAAATTCCATAAATCGACGGGGTTCAAACCCGAAAAATAGAGATAATGAATTAAATTAATGCTGACTTTGGTGTTGTTTTCACATTCTGAGAGAAAATTGATGCATGGATTGTCTTAACATTTAATTTTACTTGATTACTGAATTACCAACACAACACTCTCAAAAGCATTCCTTATTACCCAAATCGGAACCTAATTTTTGTTTACTTGAAACAAAAGATACCCTGTGCTTCAATATCAATAAATAATTCCAAGATGTTCAAAATATGAACAATGATATATACATGTTTCAGTTCAAATTTTCACTATTTTGAAATTAATTTCAGGCAATTATGATTTTAACCGAATTTCGTGAATTTTGATAGTTCGTACAGAAACTTCTGGCGTAAAATGAATCTATTGAAAATATTTCCCCAACACCAGAACAAAAATTACGGTCTCTCGACGCGCGTTTCGCTAACCAAATTAGCGTCCATAGGAGATCATTATGACTACATTTTACTACTATGTTAGTGTTTTTATGCGCTAGTGGCCTAACTCCAGCTGTTAGTAGTACCTAACTACACTGGTTAGTATTACTTAACTACTACCTGTTTTTCAATACCAATAATTTGTTATGTAGTTCCTCTATGTTAGTGACTACCTCTATTCATATAACTTAGAAGTTCTA